TTGCCGAAATGTCCGTGCCATTTTTACCGTGCCATTCCGTAAAACGTGCCTGTGCGTGCCACACAATCCGTGCCACTCCGTACATTCCCGAAACCAACCCGTACCACAACCAGTACCACTTTTCTTATAGGGAATTTTGGCAATTTTATCGGTCAGACCAAAATTATTTGGCCTTTTCAGCCAAAAAAAACATATCAACTTGGCCGAATTGGCCGTTTTTTGGTCGCCAAAATATATTTGGCCGGTAAAATTTCTCATAATAATAACATATGAAATATATGATATGAAATCGCAAATAATGATCATGCTATCCCAGTAATTACATAATATGTACTATTATTATAATCATATTATTTATACTAACTACATGTACATAGATTAAAAAATTCAACAATTCAATGTTTATTTCCAGATTCACGAATGCATCCTCCAGGCAACAAAAAAGGAAATTTATCCTTATTTTCCAATAAGTATTTAGGTAACCCAACCATTGAATTGCTTTTTGATACATCACCTAGTTTACTAAATAACTCCTTGAATGTATACGCTTCAGGGAACATTGCATATATATCTTTACCTTGACAAATTTTGTCTTGAATGGCATCATCATCTAATAGATCTTGGCTAGTTACTCTGTCATTATGTGAGTAAGACGTCATTTTAAATTTAAAATCTGAGATATTACGAAAACAAAAGGTGCAATGCCACCCAGCGTCTGATAATATATCATCAGAATATCGGCCATGGTGATAATAGCTACGTTCTGAACCATGAATCTTTATGTTTGCACGCCAATTATCAAAGCCCGTAAAGAATTCGAAAGAGTAAATATATCCTCGCATCTCCAAATGTAATTCATTAGGAAAACCTTCACAAGTACGTAAAAGATCAATCGTGTGATTATAAGGTATTTCATCTACATCAGAATTTATTATAATATCACCAGGTTTTACGCCTATCTCATTAATAATGATATTCATATAATCCCGTAACTTGCCTTCATTTTCGAAAGGACTTTCACCAATTTCTAAGTCATTTAAATCATTATAATACTTATAAATGATTTTTGATTTTGCCCAGGAAAATTTATTCCTATTTTTAGCAAAATATAATTCTTTTTTTTTTCCAGTGAATGTTCTATTTGATTCTAAAATTATGAAGTTGTCAACTACGTCCCACAATTCTTTTAATCGTATTTCTAATAAATCTAATTCTATACTAAAAATTATTGCGTCGAAGACTTTTGGATATACATCTCTAGGTGTCCAATTATGTAATTTACAAAGTTCTTTTGATGGAATACCACTTGCATAATAATGTTTAATAACGTTCCATGGTTTAGGTTTTTTATCCCATAACGGTCTTGTAAGGTAACCTATGTCTCTACCCAAATTGGTTTGAAAAAGAATATTAATTAATGATAGAGTTATTAAACAAAAAAGGGTTGTAGCTAATAAATATTTCGGTTTCTTCATTGAAATTTTGTGTAATTATGAGAAAATTTTAAAGAAATCATACTTAACATAAATTGACTCTTTTTATTGCATTATTTCGATGATCATATCACTGATCGTAGGTTCATTTATGCGGCTGTGCCACCTCAATTAACTTCGCAACAGGAGGAAACGCTAGGGTGATCATCAAACTAAATCATAATAGTGAAACATATACAAAATTACTATTTGGTGAGAATCATAATGGTTATAATAAAGTAATGATGGCATTTTTCGATTTATTATTTATGAGTAGTTAATTCTTACAAAGTGAACGAGCTTCACTTAACTTTAGCAACAATAAATTTACAAAACTCGAAAAGAGAGAAATAAAAGCTACAAATTAAAAAAATATATATTATATAAAAAGTTTGCCTCCTTGATCTAAAAATCGTACCTTTATAAAACTATTGCTATTATCATGCAACATAAATTTTTGATCGACACAATAAAGCGAAAAGTGAAATTTCCGAAATTCCAAAAAGAACCTGTAAAAGATCCTTACATAATAAATTTCATATATGATCAAAAACTATGATTTACCGATCATAAAAAATTATTTTACAATACTTGATCAGTCCGCTAGTACATGTTATGATTATAATCCCACACCATTTTTATTATAATAAAATGGTGTTGG